GAAATAAAACTATGTGAAAAAGTAGACCAGTGTCTGCAAATAACAGCTAATAGAAGGTATTTTCAGCTGCTCTCTTATTTCCCAAAGGGCCGCCACAGTGGCTGGATCTGCATGTTTGATTTGGCACAGATTTTATGCCAGATGTCCTTCCTGATGCTACCCTCCCATTTATTTGGGTTTTGGACTACAAGTACAATAGCTTGTAGGCTGGTTCTGCCTCACATCTTTCACATGTAAGGCTAATGGGTTAACAACTACACCCATGGAGCCACTTCAAATAGAGGCTTCTTCAGAATAAAGCCGTCACATAAAGAAATGGCAATCTTTCTTAAATCCAGTGTAAAATAATTGGTATCACCTTAAGGGAGGGACACATTCATTCAGTGCGGACAGTTAACAGAAAAATAGAGGCCAGGGGGATAAAGAATAGAAGAGAGAAATCAGAAGTTCAGACTGGTACTGATGTACATGTCCTTTACAACTAACCCTCAGGGTTACAATCATCTCTCTATGATAGTACTTTCCCACTGTCACAATTTCTAGTGCTCTCTCTTTCTCTCTCTGACTTTGCCTCTGAATCTATTCCCTTAGAAAGACTCACACACGGTCCATGCACACACTCAAACACACACACAGACACTTGACAGATTTGCAGCACAGAGGACAGAGTCTGGAGCGTGCCCGCTGCTCTGGCTGATGTATGACTCATCTCTCCCATCTATTCCACCGGGACGCATAGATCTAGGCCCATACGCCGTACATCAACCACCCACCTACCACATTCATACACACACACAGTTGTGTCACTTTAAAGGACATTGCAGTAATTTCTTACAGATTTCGCCTCACTATAACCACCGGTTACCTAACCCTTAACTTAACCTAACCTTCAACCAAGACTTGATACTAAAATCTAGTTTTTTCTTTTATGAGGACTTACTTCCCCCCTCCATTACCCCAGATATGTGCAACAAAATACATGCACTCTCCATCCTGCTCTAACCATAAATATCCTCCGCTTAGGCGCTGATGTAAGGACACTTTTTTACTCGCACACACATAAATACACAGGATACGGTAACGTTAAGCATAAGGTTTCATCATTTACAGAAGCATGTGTTGAATCATCCCTGCACTACATGATCAATACTACTTTAGCACAATCTCCCTGGGCAGCAAACACTGCAAACCTCAGGACACGAAACTGAGATTTCAGCAGGAGCAGCAAACATGCTAAATGCTTTTATAGAGCCTTTTCTTGGGTTATATAAACCTGAGAATAATTCAATTTTTCTATTATCAAAGCTATAGTTGTTTTTCTGTCAGTGGATTCACTGAAGAACTGACCAATTATAGTAATAGTAAATGCTTTTATGGTTTTCAGGATAAAGGTTTCTATCAACAGTTTTCTGGGATCATATAGTCAATGTGAAATACTATCTAAAAGCTTACGTTACGATAATGTGAACAAATTAAGATTAGGCAAGAGCTATTACAAACAGCCTTGTGGACCGTGGAGCCTTATTAGCATTTGCCACAGAATACTGTAATTGACAGGTCCAACTCTGGTTGCCTGCACTTTTCACAGATGAGAATGGGTTCACCCTGAGCACATGAGATGGACATGACAGTGTCTGGAGAGGCTGCGTGTCCTGTAATATTGTTCAGTGTGACCAGTTTGGTGGTGGGTCAGTGATAGCCTGGGGAGGCATATGTATGGAGGACTGCACAGACGTTTACGGACTACAGGCACCAGTGCGGTGGCTCCTGGGTTCCTCCTGGTGCAAGACAATACATGGTTTCATGTGGGGAGAGTATGCAGGCAGTTTCTTGGAGGATGAAGGAATTGATACTTCCCTGACCTAAATCCAATAGACAACCTCTGGGACTTTATGTTTTTGTCCATCTGACGCCACCACGTTGCACCTCAGACTGTCTCCCAGGACACCATCTGTCATTTCATTAGGTGCATGTCCTGAGGTTGTTAGGCATGCATACATGCGTGCATCTTCTGAGTACTGTTATGATTTGCTGCAATGTAATTTCGGTAACTGCGTCTGCTGCATCATCTTTCTACTTTTCCTTCTTTTGAGGTGTTTATGAATTCAGCCCTCTGTAGGTTGATGCTTTTCATTTGCATCAAACGATGTGGCATCCTTTCATTCCTAACACATTACGCAGTTCATATCAGTGTAGACATCCAGCAGGTTTTCGCTTCCCATTGAGATCAGATGTGTTTTCAAAGTGTTCCTTCATTTTTTTTGAGCAGTGAATAGATAAATGCGTCATAGATTTAAGGCTCAGTTAATAGTGTTTATCTGATAGTGTTTGTGAATTTGAAGCACGACTCTGGTGCTGTTAATTACCTGAGAAAAAAGCCTATCTTCACTGTACACTGATGATTATGAAGGTGTTCGGCTCCGTGTGATCATGTCTTCTCTTTTATGCTTCTCTAATGTCTACTTATTGTATTTCTTCCTTCATTATCCTAGTTAACTAATCACATCTCACAATCAACAGATTGCGAGGTGACACTGGAGATGTCTCTGTGATCAGTGTGTGAGTGTGCGTTTGAGCACTGCACCAAACACAGGGCGGCTTTCTCCCACAAACAGAGAATCTGATAGCTCAGCTGTCTGACAGCCTCTCTTGTCTCTGCGGTCCAAACACAGAAGTGGAGCAGATCCGATGAGATGTGGAAACACCCGCATTTGTTCCCTGTTCTTCTATTTTCTCTCTCTGTGTGGTTTAGTGTTATGATGTTTGCTACAATGTAGAAAATTAACATTTCGGTTTACTGATGTGTCAGCCTGGTTATAAACAAACATCTCAGGACTTGCTTGTCCTTAAAGCATATGTGCTGGTTTAGTTGGCTGAAGATTGATGATGGGGTTTTATTCCTCTCGGCTCTTGTGGTGTGTGCAGCGGCATCAGTAGTTCTGGCTGGTGAGAGAAGTCACATGTTGCTTCAACCTCAGTGACCTTCTCTGCACTTGCAGTAGAGGACAAAGGGGGGAGGGGGTGGCGACATTAAAATGCATCACGAGTCACTGTAAAATCGAATAAAACCAACTAATATTGTGAAAATCTCAATTGTGGGATTAATGAAGGCTATCTCATGTAGCAAAGGATGCCACTTTGAAAATCTAAAAAAGATTAAGCCATTTTAAAAAAAGCAAACTGAAATGTATGTCAAATCCATACTGCTGAATGTCTAAATGATCTGGGAAGATTGAAACATGCAGATCCAAAAACCACCCAGTAGGGTTTGCATATTTAAAAATACAGTCATGTGAAAAAAGAATAGTAAGTAGCAGCCACGTGCTGCTAATCAAATGCACTTGGCTAATTCATAATAAGCAAATGCGAGCACCTCTGTAAAGGCAGAAATTTGGGCAGTTTGCTTGTTTGAAACATTCAGTCATGTGTTAAACTAATATCACAACCTTTCAGGCAAATTCAGTACAAGGTCGGACCGTGAATATACAGAAAGCTCAGGTACATCTCAGACTTTACAGGCCTCTGTAAGCATGTTAAATGTTAAAGTTCATGACAATACAATTAGAAAAATACCAAACAGTTATGATTAAAGGATTGCCACAAGATAGCCACTCATGTGTAAAAAGAACATGGCAGCAGGACTCAGATGTGCAAATTTGCACCTGAATAAATAACAAGACTTTGGAACTGTGTCTTTAGGACAGATAAGACCAAAGTGGAGATGTGGATGATCAGGAAGAACACCTCAAACTGTCAAGTACGGTGGTGGAGGGGTGATTATTAGGGCTTGTTTCGCAGCCACAGCACATGGCCACCTTGCAGTCCATCATGAACGTCTCTGTATACCAAGTCTTCTAGAGTCAAATGTGGGGCCATTTGTCCGACAGCTAAAACTTGGTCATGTAACAGGACAATGACCCCAAGCTCGGCAGCAAAACTACAACAGAATGGCTGAAAAAGAAATAAACTAAGGTGCTGCAGTGACCCAAAGCCCTGTCAACATGTCTGATCTGACTGAAACACTGCGGCACTGTGGACCTTAAGAAAGCTTTGCATAAATGAATCGCCAAACCTCAATGAACTTAAACAAGATGAAAGGGTCAAATTTCCCCACAACAATGTCGGAGGCTGATTATTTCAAAAATATTGCTGTGAAATGTGGTTCCACAAGCTAATAAATCACAGGAAGTACCCAGGACTGAACAGAGTCCTGTGAAAATTTTATTTTTCACAGCACTGGATCTGCCACATGTACAACCAAACAGAAGAAGATGAATCAGGCAAAGCCAAGTCACTATACAGGTCTTTGGCGTTCTCTAGTGGACAAAATCTAAAAGTACATTTACTTCACACAGTAGATAGATAGATAGATAGATAGATAGATAGATAGATAGATAGATAGATAGATAGATAGATAGATAGATAGATAGATAGATAGATAGATAGATAGAT